AAATATCGAGAAAAAATATACTGGAGACATCGGCACCTAACAGAAACACCCTTTTAAAAGTTGACCAACTATTTTGGCTTTTGTATGAAGTATGCAACGCAAGAGTATGGTTTTTTGTATGTATGTATGTAGTATAGGGTTTTACGGCGCTCGCAACTGCTTAGGTCATATGAGCGCGCATGGTTTTTTTTAAAGATCAAGACAAAATCGATATATCATAGAATCTAAACCAGTTACGACGTGCTGGAAGCAGGCGCGCATCAATGTTTGGGCCTATGGAATTGTTGGTAAAATCTTGAAGTCTCGTCTATTTTCTTGATCTAAGTGAAAAATGTACCCATCTATCTTTAATAACAGAAGTCGTGATATTTGCAATTGAAGAAGGTGGGGGTCGCCTGGTTTCAGGATTAAATTTGGGAAAAAATGGCTGCCAAGGTTTGGTAACTACCATAGTTTGATAGCACTTGGATCTACAATTTTATAATTTTTGTGCTTTAAATCAAAGTGTTTAAGGTGAAATTCACTCAGAAATATGTTTTTAAATTGACGTAAAAGATGTTGAGAAAAAACCCACAAAAATTCGATAAAAATTGGTTAACCTTTTGAAAAAAATGCCGTTTTCTTCGATTTCACTATGTTGACGAGCGCCTTATTTCACCATGATGTCTCACAGATATATTATTATGCTCTATAGACAAAAGTGGTTTTAACATCATTTGCATTTTGTAAACCGAATCCTTAGGAAGATTTACAATCGAAAAATATATATTTCCGAAACAAAATCTGAAGGCAGTTGCACTTACTACCGAAAAATACACCTACTATTTCCAAAATAGACAATGCCTCACTGGTCAAATGTAAAAACAATCGTGTTTTAAGGAGAGACTATGGTAAAGAGAGTTTCAGATTAGTAAAGAGTGTACATTGTATTGAAAGATATGGTGGACGTTGCCCTTACTGAAGACGTAAAATGCGGTGAGCCCTCAGAAAACATAGACTTTATTTTCTTGGCCGTTTCTGTGGTTTTTCTTTCTGTATTTGCTTTCAAGTGTTACAGACTTGCATTTCTCTTTACCACTTTCTTCCTCCTCTTTAGCTGAGTAAAATACGTAAAAGAAACAATACTGGAGACATCAGCACCTAACAAAAATACCTTTAAAAAAGAACCCTCTGACCTATAATTTTGGCCCGTGTAACAAGAACGTGAGTGTATGTTTTTTTCAAAATCAAGACGAAATCCACATTCCAAAGAAGCTAAATACATAAACTACTGGACCAGACTGGATCTAATGTCATTTGCATTCTGTCAACCTAAAACTTGTGAATAATATTTTTTTTAAAAACTGTTTTAAAAATCAAATCAAAAGGTAGTGACACAAACTACGGACCAAACAACACCCC